GAGTTTACAAACTGCACAGATATAACCTCTGCTTAGTAACACAGCCCTAAAGCTGGCAAACCCCTGGCCAGCTCAGCTCTTCCAAGGCAGTCCTTCCTCTGAGAACTCTAAGAAGCCCTCAGCTCCCAGGCCTGGGAGGGCCCCTGCCATCACTCAGCCAAGACTGCTCTCTCCCACCCACTGGGAACACAAGGATGTGTGCAACCACGACAATTGTCCCAGGTTCTTCCTGCAATGAAATCACACCGGCAGGGGCCAGCACTGTGGCGGTTAATGCCCTGGCCTGAAGCGCTGGCATTGCATTTGGGTGCCGGTTCGAGTCCCGGTTGCTCCACTTCCTATCCAGCTCTCTGCTGTGGCCTGGGAAAGCAGTAGAGGATGGCCCAAGTCCTTGGGCCCCTGCGCCCATGTGGGAGACCCGGAAGAAGCTCCTGGCTCCTGGCTTCAGATCGGCACAGCTCTGGCCATTGCAGCCAACTGAGGAGTGAACCAGCGGATAGAGGATCTCTCTCTCTCTCTCTGCCTCTCTTCTTTCTGTGTAACTCTGACTTTCAAATAAATTTAAAAAAAAAAGAAAGAAAGAAAGAAATCACACCTGCACATGCTGGTTACCTTTCCCTTGCCCCAGCCCAGCCAAGATCCTTAATCCCGATCTGCAGATGAGGAGAGTGAGGTGGAGGGAGTCTGCACAACAGCAATCCATCAGACTCTAGGATCCACTTGATTTTTACGCTGCCACACTGCCCAGGGGTCACCAGCCTCTAAGCGCTCAGAGACCCACACCAAATTGGGAGCAGCAAAGTAGACGACACAGGAGCTTTCTCGTTTCCGCTGCCTGGCTCCCGACCCAGACTCCAGCGAGGTTAATTCCACGGTGCTTCACTTGGCCGGTGGCCCCACCAGGCCGGGGCCCCAGGAAGCTGACGAGAGGCAAAGGGCTCCCTGGCAGGCCTGTCCTGGCGGCTGTCCAGCTGACTTGTGCTAACACAGCAACAGGCGCAGGAAAGGGTCTGGAGAGTGGAAAAGCACCAGACTGGGCTCCTGCCCTGCTCAGCCAGGACAACCCTGCCTTAGAGCCCCCACCGTCACGGGGGTGGGGGTCAGGGACCAACCGAAGGGGTCGAGTGGGTTTCAGTGAACCGTGACTGCACGCCCAGTCAAAAAGGGAGTCATAGGCCTGCAAGGTCAATCAGCGAACATGGAAGAAAACCAGGCCACACCCTGGTTCATCCCAGCAACCCTGGCCTGTCTTTGCTGCATCCACAGAAACCCTGCCACTAATGCCACCCGAGCAGAGGCGAGACGGCACGCAGTCTCAGAGCTACCGCCAGGGGAGCAGACCTCAGCCAGCCCGTGGGAATGATCGAGCTGCGAGTATTAATAGATGTGCAGACATTGGGTGAGGATGTGCCCTAGGAAATGAATTTAAAAGGGGGCACAAAGTGAGAGGAGGAGAAGGGAGCAACTTGGACTTTCCAAAGATAGGGCTTCCTCCGCCAGGCTCGGGGAGGAGGCACACAGGGAGACAGGGTTATTCCAGAATAACTGCAAATCTAAAAGCGGCCGTGGGAAAACGGTTTGGTTGTGTTTTCGTAGGCCTCCCATCTTCAAGTGCTTTCTTGGGTTGATATTAAGCTGGGCAAGTGCAGGATGCTCAAAAGTGTCCCGGTGGAAACAAATTCTGAGGGCTAACAGCTGCTAGATCACTACAAAAACCTCTGTCACTGGAAGAGAGAGTTTCAGAAGTCACCAACTGGCAGTCACTGGGTCCAACTGATGTCACAGGTGTGTCAGCATAGAGTTTCTTAAGGGATTGTCAACATTTAAAAACCAGATGGCTCGGGGCCAGGGGAATCCCACTGAATTTCTAGCATCTGTTAGGGCAAAAGCGGCAAACCTAGCTCCAGCAGCATAAGCAGCACCTGCTGGGAGCTGAATCCGCTGCCTCCTCCAGGCAGGCCAGCGGCAGCCGGCGGGCCTGTTCCTCACCTGACTGATGCCAGCAGGCATCAGGGCTCCCTCCTCCCAGGTCAGCCCAGGGAAGCTCTCGCCAGGCTTGGTGATGCACAGGGAAGCCACAGGGTGGCAGCACTGGTCTTGTCAATGAGGCCCAGGCTGCCAGGTGAGCTTCCAGGACTGGAAACCTCTTTCCTCACACTCTCCACATTAACATGTGCTCACTCCAACATTCTCCCGACAGCTCACTGGAAGGAAGCCGCCAGGCCACCGATCTGTGCTGCTTTTCTCAGGCCAACGCCCCTTAGGCCCTCCCACGCCACAGCTGGCATCTCCACAGGCCAGCCCACTGGGGATGGGAACGCAGGGGCCTGAGGGAAGGTGGCATGGTGATTCAGCTTCCAGCTTGAACCGCTGGCACTAGGTCTTCCATCTTTTTCTGTAAAAGCTGCTAGAAATTCAAATCCAGTGGAGTTTTTTTTTTTAAGCATATTTTTAAATGGTGACATTAAAAAAAAACACACAACTCTACTAACACCACCTGTGGAGTCGGTATGACCCAGTGGCTGCCAGTCTGTGACCTCTTAATTCTTTTTTTTAATTAATTTTTTTTTGACAGGCAGAGTTAGACAGTGAGAGAGATAGAGAGAAAGGTCTTCCTTCTGTTGGTTCACCCCGCAAATGGCCACCACAGCCAGCGTGCTGTGCCGTTCGGAAGCCAGGAGCCAGGTGCTTCCTCCTGGCCTCCCATGCAGGTGCAGGGCCCAAGCACTTGGGCCATCCTCCACTGCCTTCCCAGGCCACAGCAGAGAGCTGGACTAGAAGAGGAGCAACTGGTGCCCCAAACGGGACTAGAACCTAGGGTGTCGGTGCCGCAGGTGGAGGATTAGCCTAGTGAGCTACGGCACCGGCCAGCCAGTCTGTGACTTCTGAAATGGTCCCTCTCCTAATGAGATGGTTTTTGTAGGGATTCTACCCTCAGGGCCAGCACTGTGGCACAGCAGGTTAAGCTGCCCCTGGGACGCGGACACCCTTTCTGAGTGCAAACTGGTTTCCTAACTGCTCCACTTCCGATCCAGCTCCCTGCTCATGTACCTGGGTGAGGCAGTGGAAAATGGCCCTAGTGCTTGGGCCCCTGCCACCCGCCTGGACAGGGCTCCAGGCTACTGGTTTTGGTCTGGCCCAGCCCCTGGTGCTGCTGCCATGTGGGTTGTGAACCAGTGGATGGAAGATCTGTGTCTCCCCTTCTCTCTCTGTAACTCTGCTTTTCAAATAAATCTTTTCTTTTGTTATTTATTTATTTATTTATTTTGACAGGCAGAGTGGACAGTGAGAGAGAGAGAGACAGAAAGGTCTTCCTTTTTGCCATTGGTTCACCTTCCAATGGCCGCCGCGCCGCAGCCGGCGCATCGCGCTGATCCAGTGGCAGGAGCCAGGTGCTTATCCTGGTCTCCCATGGGGTGCAGGGCACAAGCACTTGGGCCATCCTCCACTGCACTCCCTGGCCACAGCAGAGAGCTGGCCTGGAAGAGGGCAACCGGGACAGAATCCGGCGCCCCGACCGGGACTAGAACCCGGTGTGCCGGCGCCGCAAGGCAGAGGATTAGCCTATTGAGCCACGGCGCCGGCCAAATAAATAAATCTTTCTAAAAAAAATATTCCTACCCCCACCCGTTACCACCACCAGGGGCTTAGGGGAGAGAGACCCTCAGACTGGATGCAGGGCAAACACCTCCCTCTTTCAGAGGTAGATGCATTCTCACCAACGTTCACTACTCACATAGGGAAGACCTGTTTCATGAGGCTATAGGTTCTTCCGCCTCTTTCTGCCCTCTCTCCATTCCCCCTGCAACCTCCCCAGTGACCTCTTAGCAGGTACACCCGGTGTAAGCTCCCACACCCACTCGGAAGGCACTGGCTATACCTGTGGAGACCCTTATGACTGCTGATTCCCTCCAACAGGCAGGAAAGGCCTGCATTGGGGACGCTGTTGCAAGTGAACTTACTCTACAGCTCCACCTGACCAAGCACGCAGCTCCTAAAAGCAAACATGAGGACCACGTGGCAGGATGGAAAAAGATTCTAATAAGGAAAAACCGTGAACAAAGTAAACGCGCCACGGTGACATCTTTAAACTTTGGCGAGAATTAGTTAAAAAACCAGAATATGAACCATGGCTGTATGAGAGCACTGGGGGCGAGTGGCCTCTCATTAGCCCTGTCCCGCTCCCTCTCATGTGCAGGTGTGTGGGGAGCAACTGGGAGCAACTCGGACTAGACTAAGTTACTGGAATTAAGACTTATTCTATGCATCTGCTCTCCCACAGTATGGCGCTGGGAGAGGAGGAAACAGCTTCTACACAGCTGCCTCCAGTTCAACCAATAAACTGTAGGACCTGCTCCTGATTGGAGGAGAGCAGTGTACTCGGCATGTGGGTAGCAGAGTTGGGATTGGTGGAAGAGGACTATAAAGGAGGACAGAGACAATATGCACCGGGAACATCTATCTGAAGGAACACCTGTGCAGCTCCCGAGAGAGCCGGCTGGCGGTGTGCCGCTCCCCCGCGGAAGTGGGGAAAGTGGCAGGGGGAACCGCCCTTCCACGGAGGTGGAAGGGATGGTAGCCAACCCGGGAAGAACCAGCAGCAAACCCGGGAAGGGCCGAGCAGACAAAAGAACAGCGCAGGGTCCTGTGTCGTTCCTCCACGAAGACGGGGAGCGACATAATGGTGCCGTGACTCGGATATGAAACCTAGGCAGGGTTTAGTGTCGTTCCTCCACGAAGAGGGGGAGCGACACAGGTGTTTCTGTCCTAGGGAAAAACTTGGGCACATGTCCACGCAGGAGCTCCACCCCAAGTCAGATCTGGAAGGTGCTACCGGCTCTTGTTAGCAGGGTGAAAGGCTCCGGGAACCTGTGCCTCTGGAAGCTGGTGCAGTATCACTGGGAGACCCCAGCCAAACGCCAAAGCCATCCCGTCTGGAAATGCTAGCCCTGGCTAACTCCTAGGGAGACCCAGACACAGCGAAGGTAGGATCCCAGCGATCCGGTTCTCAGACGCCACTTTAATCGTGTTTTGTACTACACAGTGATGGGGGGTGGAAGATGACGATTGTTTTCAAGTGAATTCACTAGGCACATGTTCCTCCAGCCCCAACGTAAACAGCCTGGGCTTTCCTTCCCAGGGAAATCCCATTCCCAAGCACACAGGACAGGATTTCAGGAAGAATGAGCACAAAACAGGGCGAACAGGACAAGGGGGCCAGGTCGACTTCTGATTCTTCCCGGTGCAAACCAGGACTACGCTTGTAGTGTCTCCTGCAGGCAGCACCCAAACCCCAGCCCTTTCCCCGGAGTCCAGGCCGCTGCCCCAGGGAGACACAGTCCCTATGCACCTCACACACTCCTCCCCTAGTGCTCCCATCCGCTCAGGACCTGAGCGCGTGTGGCCCCCACGCAACAGAGGCAGCCGTGGGCCAGACCCTTCAAGGGCCTTCCTCTTCGCTGGCCCCGCCCTGCCTGCCTGCCCAGGAGGGAGCAGACAGTGTGGTGTGGCTGCGGGGGTGCGGGAGGGGCCGAGGAAGCAGCAAAGCAGATCAGCTGCGCAGGGTCTGGGGCCCGGGCGACAGAGCAGCAGCCCAGCCCCGGCCTCCGAGAGGGGCGCAGCGCCCCGCGTCCCCCATCAGTTCTTCTCGGGGCGGTTTCTGTTCAGGACGGCTTTCGGGGCGAACTCCAGCTTGTCCTTGAGGCTCAGCACCTGCGTGTGGTCCTTGCCGAGCAGCTCGTCCAGCTTGCGCTCCTCCCGGCGCTCGGAGATGCTCTTCTCCTCCTCCGCAGGCTGGGGCGCCTTGCCCCGGATGAACCATTCCAGGTGGTAGCCCACGGCCCCAACCACGAAGGCCACAGGAAACGTGACATAGGGGGCGTAGGTCCGCACCACGGTCCAAAGCACAGGCCACATGACATCTGCAGAGGTCACAAGGCAGCGTTAGGGAGGCGCCAGCACCCCTCCCGCTGCAAACAGGGACGACCCCCAGGGCGCTCCACCTGCCAGGAGGCCATGCACAACTAACTGAGCGCCCACCCCCACTGTGGAGCAATGCAAGCGTGCATCTGGCTTTACCCAACAGCTGGGCCCCAGGAGTCCTGCATGGGGCTGCAAAAGATTCAACTGTCAGGGAAGGGGGAAGAATCTGTCTGGTGCGCTGTTCTCTTGGACAACTCTGCACCAGTGTGTGGCAGTGTCCCCACAACGCGACCTCCGAGCCTCACCTTGTGGAGCTCCGAGCCTGCTGCCGGCTCCAAGCCCTCCCTCGACAGCTCGTCAACATTTCGGGCGTTCTCCGCCCTATGGCATCTCTCCGTGAGCACTGCCCGCCGCCCTCTGCCCACCACAGGTCCTCCCACTGTCACCTCCTGGCTCCATGCCTGTGAAAAAGGAGCTTCTTTCCCCCGGCCAAGCATAAGCAGCGCAAATAGCCAGAACGGTAATCCACACCCAGCGACTCTGGATTTGAGATAGGAAAACTGGCAATGCTTTTTGCCTGTTCTTAACTTGGTTCTACCACTGTGGCCACCTATACTTCACAAATCTGCTGGCAGATTTTTTGACAGGCAGAGTGGACAGTGAGAGAGAGAGACAGGTCTTCCTTTGCCGTTGGTTCACCCTCCAATGGCCGCCGCGGCCGGCGCGCCGCGCTGATCCGAAGGCAGAAGCCAGGTGCTTCTCCTGGTCTCCCATGGGGTGCAGGGCCCAAGCACTCGGGCCATCCTCCACTGCACTCCCTGGCCACAGCAGAGAGCTGGCCTGGAAGAGGGGCAACCAGGACAGAATCTGGTGCCCCAACCGGGACTAGAACCCAGTGTGCCGGCACCGCAATGCGGAGGATTAGCCTATTGAGCCACGGCACCGGCCCTGAGCTGCTTTCAAAATACGCTATCTTCAACCAAATCCATTTCCTCACTTTTACATATACTCCTGAACACACCAAAGCGTTCTCTGAACACCCCAGCATTAGAAGTCTGTGAAAACCACTGTCCTAGCCACGGAGGGCAGGGGGAGACTGCCCTGCTCCCGAACCAAAGTGGGACAAAGCAGACGTGTCCAGTAGAGAGAGAGACAGAGAGAGAGACACAGACACAAACACAGAAAGACACACACACACACACCCATTATCATTATTAACAAAGATCACTCTCAATTATCTTAACAATGACAGCTAAGGACTTCCTGGTCCTAGCACTTTACATACAATGTCTCCTTTAATCCTCCTGTCTACCCTGCCAGGGAGAAGGCACAGAGTTAAGTAACTTGCCCAAATGAAGTCCAACTGAAAGACCTCTGTGATTGTGCAACTCTCCAACGTCACTGTCTCTGGACTAAAAAGAACAATCAATACCTCACCAGGGACAGGTTTTGTGTGTCTTGTTCCAGTTCTCTCTGGAGGAATCCCAGTGTTCTGTGGACCACTGTGGGTGGGGGTGAGCCTGCAGCAGCCCGGGTTTCCTCTCCTGGTCCTTGGAGCCACCCAGGCACTGCGCTGACTACCTGCACACTCACAGTCACAGTCACCTGATCCTCCCAGCACCCCTGTGGGGTAGGAGTTGCTGGCGTGGACTCTGTCTAAGGCCACAAAGTCTCAGGTGTTGTTACTTAGTCCAAGATCACCAGAAGCCACACAGCCTCTGATTTTGACCCCAGGCCTCTCCAACTTCAAGACCTGTGGTCTTGTGGTGGAAAGAACATACTGCAGACAGGTATATGGTTTCTGTCTAAATTCTGAACTTAAGAACTTCTGCAAGTCTTTTCCTGTCAGCCTGGCATTTCATTACCTACAAGAGCTTCCTGCTTTTGCAAACTCTGTGATCATTCTAAGAAATCTGTTTAATCCTAACATGCAGAAGCTGTTAAGAGAGACACCTTTGAAGAACCCCAACCTAACACGCCTCCCATTTTGGCGCAGCAGGTTAAGCAGCTGCCTGGGATGCCAGCATCCTATATGAGCGCCACTTTGGGTGCTGCCTGCTCTGCATTTTTTTTTATGATTCATTTATTTATCTGAAGGACAGAGTTACAGAAAAAGACAGGGGGGCTGGCAATGTGGTGTAGTGGGTAAAGCCACCATCTGTGGTGCCGGCATCCCATATGGGCGCTGGTTCAAGTCCCGACTGCTCCTCTTCTGATCGAGCTCTCCACTATGGCCTGGGAAAGCAGTAGAAGATGGCCCAAGTCCTTGGGCTCCTGGCTCCTGGTTTTGGATCGGCTCAGCTCCGGCCATTGCTGCCATCTGGGGAGTGAACTAGCAGATGGAAGACTCTCTCTCTCTCTCTTTCTCCCTGCCTCTCTGAAACTCTGCCTTTCAAATAAATAAATCTTAAAAAAAAAAAAAAATCCTTCTCCCATGTTATTTCCCACCTTCTAAGCAAATCCTCTCTATAAGCAAAAACTTTTCCTAAACAGCAACTCTCTTTTCCAATCTTTTATTTATTTATTTTTTTATTTTTTGACAGGCAGAGTGGACAGTGAGAGAGAGAGACAGAGAGAAAGGTCTTCCTTTTGCCATTGGTTCACCCTCCAATGGCCGCCGCAGCTGGCGCGCTGTGGCTGGTGCACTGCACTGATCCGATGGCAGGAACCAGGTACTTATCCTGGTCTCCCATGCGGGTGCAGGGCCCAAGCACTTGGGCCATCCTCCACTGCACTCCCTGGCCACAGCAGAGAGCTGGCCTGGAAGAGGGGCAACCGGGACAGAATCTGGCGCCCCGACCGGGACTAGAACCCCATGTGCCAGCACCGCAAAGCGGAGGATTAGCCTAGTGAGCTGCGGCATCGGCCTCCAACCTGTCTTAAAATATCTCCAGCATGGCTTTTCTTTTCTATCCGCCATCTGCGGTGGGCCCGCCATCAGGATGCAGACCTACGTAAAAGCCCTTCCGGGGAAGACCACCATGTTCAAGGTTGAACCCTTGGATACAACAGAAAATGTAAAGGCCAAAATCCAGGATCAGGAAGGGATTCCCCCAATCAGCAAAGACTGATCTTTATGGCAAGCGACTGGAAGACGGATGGACTTTATCTGCCTACAGCATTCAAAAGGAGTCCACTCTTCACCTTGCACGGAGACTGTGGTGGTGCCGAGAAAAGGAGGTGGTCTTAGAGCACGCCCAAGAAGGAGAAGCACGAGAAGTCCTCTAGTACTACAAGGTGACGAGAATGGCAAATCAGTCGCCTGCGCCGCGAGTGCCCTTTGCACGAACGTGGCGCTGGAGTGTTTGTGGCCAGCCACTTGCAGACATTACTGTGGCAAATGCTGTCCGACCTACTGCTTCACCAAACCAGAAGACACGTAATTGTACATGAGGAGTCAACAAAGGATGTTAACAGGGGCCAGCACTGTGACATAGAGGGTTAAAGCCCCAGCCTGCAGTGCCGGCATCCCATATGGGCGCCGGTTTGTGTCCCGGCTGCTCCTCTTCCGATCCAGCTCTCTGCTATGGTCTGGGAAAGCAGAATGAGAAGGCCTAAGTCCTTGGGCCTCTGCACCCACGTGGGAGAACCAGAAGAAGCTGCTGGCTCCTGGCTTCAGATCGGCTCAGCTCTGGCTGTTGCGGCCATTTGGGGAGTGAACCAGTGGAATGGAAGATCTCTCTTTCTCTAACTCTTTTAAATAATAATAATAAAAAATACGTTAACATAAAAACATACCAAGTATGGTTCACAACTAATCTCTCACATGCAGCACAAGGCCTCTCTCCCAATTCAGTCATTCCATTCATGTATCCCACACTTACAACCAGCACTGTGCTGGCTTGCTCGTCTGCATTTCTCAAGACACTCTAGGCTCCCAGAGGGAAAAGACCATGTCTGCCAGCCCCACTGTGCCCTACCCGCTCCTCCGACCCCTCACACCCCCGCCTGGCACAGAGTGATCCTCGATCATGGCTTGTTGAGGGGAAGGAGGGCAGCCCGAGCAACTCATCAGAGCTAAAACCACAGCAGCCACCCAGACACCGTCCCTGAAAAGGTGGCGAGAACCCAGCCCCTGCTGGTGACAAGACGCTAGACGCTCCATCATCATCATCCCCAGGGTACCAGGAGAGGTGTCGTGGTTGGGGACATACAGGCCAACCGGTTGCCGGGAAACCGCTCTTCATGTCTGGCCCACGGAGGCCCTAGAGACCCCCAAGTGCTGCCAAGGGCAAAGGAGGTCTGAGAAGGGGCAAGAATTAACCCTGGGAGTCATCCGAGCCCGGCCGGGGGCGTGGGGGAGGGGGCGCGGACGGGGCAAGTGAGGTCAGCGCCCAAACAGCTCCCCTAGGCCGCCAGTCAGCCCCCTGTCCTCCCTACAGCCCCGTCGCGTCCGTCCTCAGCCCTGGTCGCAGAGGACCAGCCGGGCTCCCCAACTCGGCAGCGCAGCGCCGGGAAGAGGGAGCCGTCAGGCCGGGCCACAGCCGGAGCGGACACTCGCCATACCCTCTCCCTGACGGCCTGAACTGGCGTCACGGAACTGGCAGCCCTGGCAGGTGCTCCAGCGAAACGACCCGCTCGCCGGGACCGCGCGCTCACCTGCGGCCCAGCCCGCACTCCTCGGTCCAGCCCCCAGTCTCCGCCCGCCAGCCGGGAGCACGGACGTCGCCGCTCCCAGCGGCCCCCGGGCCGCGGGCCCCGTGACCCCGCCCACTGGCCGCCGGCTCCCTCGGAGCCCAGGGATTGGCTGAACTCTAGCCACAGGCCGGGAAGAATCCAGGCCTCCGCAACGGGATTCCACTGAGCTGAGGCGGTCACAGCGCCCCCTGGTGGCCGGGAGGTTTCCCAGTCGCGGCGCCACGTGTTTTCCTCGTGGGAGAAAAGTGACAGGTCATCCATTTATTTATTCAACTGAGGTTTATTACGCGTCTTCTGAGACCTAGGTCTGGGCACACAAAAAGCCAAGACTATGGTCCCTGACCTCAAGAAGGGCTCCCTTGCGAATGACAATCTAGTGCTTTAGAATCTTTGGATCCAGGCTTTCTAGCTAGGTGACCTTCGGAAGAATGTTCATTATATTCATTCTCCTGTGGGAGCCTCCCCGGGCTCCTCCGTGTAAAGGCGGGAACGCCCATTTCGCAGGAATGGTGCAAGGATTACATGAGATGATGTATTAAGGTGCTGTGCCAGGCACAAAACAACCAGGGAAACATGACCGTTACTGTTCTCTGTAAAAAAAAAAAAATCGAACTACAGTAAAACCTGTCTTACATGACCCCCTCAGGTTAAATATTCACGACCTCCTCTGCGTCTCCACTGTGCACTGCACAATTATTTTATAACATGCAGGGAAAAAAACCCTTGCCCAAGCTCCCCCGTGGGCCTGCCTCCCTGCCTTCCTCCCTTTCTTGTACTTTTCTCGGCCTGGCATGTGAGGGAAGCGCCACAAGATGCCGGAAGCTGGAATTAAAGGATAAGCTTATTTTGCGGCAAGGACTGTTTGAAGTCCATCACTGTGGCGTGGATATTAGCGTGGGCACTCCTCAGAGGCCCACGTGGTAAAGGCTTGGTACGGACAAGACAGACACTCAGCCCGATTACAGCACTGGTGGGGGGCCCCTCTGGGAACTGATCAGGTTGGATTTGGTTGCCGGGGTGCTGCTCCCATGACCGAGTCGTGGCTTCACAGGGGGAGCCACGGACAGGTGCTTGCTCTGCCATGTGATGCTGGCACCGCCTCGCGACTCTGCTAGCGAGAGCACCATCGCCAGACACCAAGCCAGTGGGGCCGCCTGACCTTGGACTGAGAACCTCCTAAACCACGACCCAGAATAGACCAGAAGCTGTTTGTCTTAGGTATTTCATTGTAGTCATGGCAAGCTGAGTGATGCATTCATGCATAGCTTTTTCAGCGTGCGTGTTTCCCATGAACTTTCTAAACTGTCCCCATGTTTACCGTTGGTAACATACACTAGACCCCCAGATTCTCCATCCACCCCAAACTGGTGCACGAGGCTATGCCTCGTAGATGCTTGAGCACCTACCTGGAGTGCCCCTCCCACCTTTCTTAACCAGAGCCGCTCTGCCTCCCCTATTAAGGGTCACCTGCACAGGAAGCCTCTCCAACTGCATTACTTCATTATGGTGAAGAGTCCAAATCTAGGGGCCGGCGCTGCGGCATACTAGGTTAATCCTCCACCTGCAGTGCCGGCATCCCATGTGAGTGTTGGTTCAAGTCCCGGCTGCTCCACTTCCGATCCAGCTCTCTGCTATGGCCTGGGAAAGCAGTAGAAGATGGACCAAGTGTTTGGGCCCCTGCACCCGCGTGGGAGACCTGGAGGAAGCTCCTGGCAGCAGCCTGGCCCAGCTCTAGCCGTTGCCGTCAATTGGGGAGCGAACCAGCAGATGGAAGACCTCTCTCTCTCTCTGCCTCTCCCTCTCTCTGCATCTGTAACTCTGCCTCTCAAATAAATAAAAATTTTAAAAAACTTAAAAAGAAAAAAAGAAGTGTGTACATGGAGCACAGAGGAGGAGCTTCGGCCCAGCCAGGAGGCCTCAGCGAAAGCTCCCTAGGGGCGCCGGTACGGAGCCGAACCTTGAGCACTGTCTGCCGGTTCCCTCAGGCAGAACGGAGTGGAGCTCAGGAGCACGCTTAGAAAGCAGAAAGCCATGGGTTCAAATCCTGGCTCTGCTCTCCGCTAATTTCAGAAAAGCTATGGACACTCTTTGTTTTAGAAAAGAGAGTAATAGTACCCAGCCCCTAGGCGTGCTGCGTGAAATCACCTAACTGTATACCATGCCTGGTGTAGTGCCTCGCACTCGGTAAATTATTACCACCATGGTGAGTCTTCCCCAGACTCAGTCCTCCTTCTGCAATGCCTGATGCCCAAGTACGGTGTTGCAGTCACTAAACCAAAAGCCCGAGCCACACCCTCAAGGCCTGGCCCCTCTCACCGTATTGCCCACACCCAGCTTGGCACAGGGGCCTCCCACGTCTCCCAATGTCAACATCGGTCCCCAGACCACATCAGCAGCTCCCCCGGGGGTCTCCCGGCCTTCTCATCGCTCCCTCCAGTCCATTTCTGTTGGTTCTGCCGGTCAAGGGAACTTGCAAAGCAGGCGGACTCCAGGGCAGACAACCTCTCACCTCCGTGGGTTCTGTGCCCCACCCCGCCCCCGCACACACCACCCTGCGTTCTCCAGTGCTGGCTGAACAAACCAGGCCGCACAGCGGCCCTCCCAGGCCTCTGCCCAGGGTGCTGCCCTTGCCTGTCCTAAAGGTTCTGCCCTCTCTTCCACGACAGCAAAACGCTCGGGCATCGTGCGAGGTCCAGCGCACAGGCAGAGTTTCCCCAGACTGCCTGTCCTCCCAAACGCACGATGACACGTCACTGCCACTGGAGCAGCGTTAGGAGGTGATGAGGCCATCCGAGGGCTCTGCTCCCATGGCTGGGGTTGGGGCCTCCATACAAGGGCGAGTCCAGCCTCGTCTCGGCCTCTTCCACCCTCACACCTTTGCCAGGCGAAGGCCCGTGCCAGATGCTGGTGGCACCTGGGTGCTGTACTTCTCCAACCACAAGCCAACAAAGTCCTGCTCGCGGTAAATTGCCCGGTCTGTGGCTTTCTGTCTTAGCAGCACAAAATGACCTAAGGCACTGCGTGAACAGAGGCTCCCTTCTCTTCTTCTCGCCCCTCCGGGAAAGCAGGTCTCCCTTGGTACCCCCACTTTCTGTATGCCCAGCTGTGGCCACACCGAGAGCACTCAGAGCACAGAGATGGCGCTCATCTTTATTTCTGGGGCTCAGCACAACTGAAGGAGGCGCCCCCATCAGCCGCACCTGGGGACACTGCAGACCTGGTGTGGGCAACAGGACAGCCACAGGGTTACAAATGCTGCCCTGTTCCTCCGTGCGCTGCCTGTATACCTCCTGCACCCAGAAAACCTGGCCCCCTTCCAAGAAGACAAAGACCAGAAAAAAACTACACAGAGGACTAAACTCCGAGCCAGCCACTGCCCAGCTTTGGGATTTGGGAGCAGCTGTTCGCATCTCCAAGCCTCAGTCTGCTCATCTGTGCAGGGGGTGAGAACACCTGTTTCCTGGAATGGCTCTGATATCGTCTAGTTCAAGCCTCACCTGTGTCCTACTCTGAGCGATGAGAGTCCCAGAGTTGACGCGGTCCAGCCAAGGATTCCCCTGCCAAGCGTACAGGAAACAGACACTCCAGGAATCCGACGGACAGTCATCCAAGCGAGGTGTTCTCAAAGCCGGCTGCCCACCAGAGCCCCCTGGAGCACTTGTTGAAGACCCACTCAAGGGGTCTTTAACACTGTCTCAGACCAGCTCCAAGCTGACCGGCTTCTGGAGATTCGGGTCACAGGGAGCCCCCTCATCGGAGTCTGTGTTCCAGCAGCTGCTTCTCAGCGGCCTGGAAAACGCCTGTGCCAGTGGCTTCTGTGGCCCCCACGCCCTCCAGACCCAGGCCCACCCCCTCGGCGTGACCCAAACAAAGGCTGAGCCATCAAGTCGCTGTGCCCCAGTGCCCGCTTGCACAGCTGCTCCCTGATCTCAGAACAGCCCCAGCCCCGGCCCCAGCCCCTCTCCCGCGGGTACTACACAGTCAGCCTCCTGGCCCCCACCCTTGTGTTTTAACTGCCCATTTCTCTCTTTTCCCCAGAGCACCAGAAACTACAGCCTGTTCACGACCATGTCCATGATGCCTGGCAGTGATAAACATTTGCTGAACAAATGAATGAATGAGAAGGGGACGGGCACTGTGGTATAGCAGGTTAAGCTGCTGCCTGTGGCCAGCATCTCATATGGTGCCGGTTTGATTCCCGGCTGCACCACTTCCTCTCCAGCTCCCTGCTGATGCACCTGGGAAAGCAGCAGTAGGTGGCCCAAGTGCTTGGGTCCCTGCACCCACATGGGAGACCAGGAAGAAGCTCCAGTTGTTGTTTTTTTCTTGGGGTGGGGAAAACCAGGGGATAGAAGATCTCTCTCTGTCTCTCCCTCTGTCTCTAATGCTTTCAAATTAAAAATGAATGAGGGCCGGCGCCGTGGCTCACTAGGCTAATCCTCCACCTTGCGGCGCCAGCACACCGGGTTCTAGTCCCGGTCGGGGCGCCGGATTCTGTCCCGGTTGCCCCTCTTCCAGGCCAGCTCTCTGCTGTGGCCTGGGAGTGCAGTGGAGGATGGCCCAAGTGCTTGGGCCCTGCACCCCATGGGAGACCAGGAGAAGCACCTGGCTCCTGCCACTGGATCAGCGCGGTGCGCCGGCCACAGCGCGCCGGCCATGGCTGCCATTGGAGGGTGAACCAACGGCAAAAGGAAGACCTCTCTCTCTCTCTCTCACTGTCCACTCTGCCTGTCAAAAAAAAATTAATGAGAAGGTCTGGCTGAGCTAGAGTGGCCCAGAGGAGCGGGCACCCCCCCCACACAAGCCCTCCTCTCCAGTCTAGGGGTGACCCATCAACCCCCAGGGCTGGAAGGGGGGCTGTGTCAGGGCTGCCATCAACCCCTTTCCAGGCCTCAGCCCTGGATCCCCCACTGCGGACATGTCACCTATCTGCCCAGAGCCTTGGTTCCCTCTCCTTTGGCAAGGCACTGCCCCTTCGTGGGCAGCACTCAGCCTCGCCTGGCCCACCTACGAGCCAGCACCACTGGGGCCTGGCTGCCTTCCCAGGGCGGTTCTGGTCTTCGGACCCCCCTGCCCCACGGTGCCCACTC